GTCATGTTTACATCTGCCAAAACACCTGGAGCTGACTCAGTGTATACAACATGTTGCGTGTATGCACACTGTATTCGTTAAAAAAAAAAAAAAAAAAAAACTGTATTCGTTAATCTCCATATAGTCTTGTGCCTAAGCTAACAATATTCATTTATCTCCATATATCCACAGTCTTCTGCCTCAGCTATTGTTGTAGACTTTTAGTCAAGATGATCTGACATCAAACTTAATGGTTTGTTTATCTCAAAATTAGCCAGATATTGTTAAGAATCAATAATCTAGACAGATTTTCAGGTTGTTTTTATTTTTGAGAAAAGAAAAGAACCTGAATTTCAAGTCTTTATTTAGTTTTTTTATATTGATTGTTTTTTTTATTCAAGAAAAGTTAAATCTAAATTTATTAAAGACACGGATTTAATCCTCAGATAGAGGTATAGCTCACGAATAGATTTTCTGATGGGCATTCAGATGGATCAAAAGTAATAACTTATATCCGTGTAGTCACAAAATAAAATATAATGGGACGCCTTCGAACTTAGGTTGTCTCGAAGTTCGTCTACCGTTACACCACCACCTTGTGGTTATAATTGTCTTAGTTTTGCTGATAAATTAGTATATAAGATGATTTCCTGAAACATTCAGCAGATCGTTCTGGAAATAACATGATTTTCCTTTTATACCAACCGGCAACATGCGACTTTAATCCGATTCAAAAGTATATCCAGAATGTCAAAAACAAAAAGCCATATATTGACTAAGCTAAAGCTATAACTGATTAAGTTTTCATGGTATAATAAAAAGCCATTTAATATAATGTTTTTTTTTAACTGATGTTATAAGTGGCATGTTATTTTGTTATTGTATGCTTATATGACATTTTTTAACTCTGATTATTTAACATGATACGTGAGTTCTAAAATAGCTGGGATAAAGTTAGTTGGTGTTGGTGCATCGCATGTGGTGACATGAGTCCAACTGCAATGGCATTAAGATTGGAATGCACATACTTTATATATTTATGTTATTTAAGTATACTGGAAGCATTTGTATTTAAATACATTTTTTGAAAGCAAATATCTACGTTACATTTATATTCGTTAATTAACTACTGTAAATAATGGTTAATCACATTGGATAACAATAGATCTGAAACTTATATAAAGAATCTAGTAAGAAAAAGATAGTTGCATTTTCATCAAGACATCAACTATGAACGAGTGAAAATCCTTTCTAAAAAAAAAGGAAATGTTAAAACGAAATAAAAATTCAACTTCTTTATCCTTTTGGTATAAAACATTTTTTGTTCGCTTTTTTTACCGTTTTATTTCTAAAATTTAATATAAAAAATAGTGTTACAAATTAAAAAAATAATACAAAATATACACTATCGATGAAATACCTATATACACAAACTGATTTATTTATTTTGGAAAAATTGTTAAATTAAAAAGTTGATTATGTTCTACGAAAAATAGATTTCATCATCTACGAAAGATGGCATCTGTTCTACGAAAAGTAAATTTCATCTTCTACAAAAATTGCTATGGTAGAAATTAAATTCTACATTAAACAAGTGACTCTACTTATTTAGAATTCACAATCTACTTTTATAAAGAAATCTAAATATGAAGAATGTGACATCTACAAAATATAAAAAGTTCTCCAAAAAAACTGAATGTAGCTTCTACTTTCAGAAGCAATTTTTAAACTCTAGGAATATGAAATCTAGACATAACTCAAAAGTCTACTTATTATAAAATCTGCTTATAGGAAAATGTTACACAAAGTTACATTCTACGGATAAAATAAACAAGATCTCCAAAAAAAATTGTAAGTTATTTATAAAAATATTCTAAAATAATTTGTAATCTTATCTTCGTGCTTGTCATAAACATGGGGAAACTATTTATCTTGTCAAAAAAATCAAAAAATATTGACTATACCTTTTCTTCTTTATCTAACCTAGATTTCTCCATAGTTTTTTTTTTGTGATTTTCACAAACTTTCTTCTATAATGCATATATACGACATGTTTTCGACTATGACAGAGGAGGTAGATTACAGTTAGCGGAATTGAGTTATACCTTACAGAATAGATGTTTAATATGTTTAATTTGATTAGTCAAAGGATTAGTTTTGGGATTATAAAAAAATATATTAAAAGTACTCCCTCCGTTCCTAAATGATCCATATTTTAGAAAAGAATTTTGTTTCTAAAAGATTCATATTTTACATTTTCAATGTATGTAATAATGGTAAATTGTAAACTTTAAAAACATTAATTATGTTTACTGAATTTTGATTGGTTAAAAATCATAGAAAATAGCTAAACACATAAAATAATGCATTTATTATCAAAAATTTAAGTGTTTTCTTAATAAGTGTGAAAATTCTAAAACATGGATTATTTAGGAACAGATGAAGTATAACTTAATGATGGTTTGGATCAGAAGGTTAAATTTCCATTTCGTTTTAGTATAATCAGCATTTACCTAAAATACTTTTTTTGGTCAACACCTAAAATACTTAAGAAGAAGAAAACATTTGTCTAAAACATCTTCTCTGTTTGCTTAGACATCCATAAGAATATGTCATACATGTTCAACATGTACCTAATTTAGTTTTATTTCATACTATAACTTAATGATACAGGCTTAAAATTTGATGCTGTTATACATACGAACGTTCTTACGGACAAGTTTGGATTGTGGTCCATAAGTTGCAAATAACAACAATAAATTATATATTTCACCACTAGAGTTTCTTATTAAAGTCTAATAAATGAAAACTCAACTGAATCAAACCAAATAGATTGTCACAACCTAGCTGCAGATAGGGCCAAAGCGAGTGAAGCAACAACGGTTGCAACCAACCACAGAACAATCTTCTATAGTGGTAAAGCCCGTGGGTGCAGCACCTGAAAATGTTGCTGCTAAACTTAAGTAATGCATCAAAAATTGTGGTGGCCACTGAACCAGTGTCGGACCTGAAAATAAAAAGAACAGAAGCAATTGAAAATAATTAAGGCCATTTTCTAAAAATGTGTATCAAAAGAAATGAAGGTTAGAAGTTTCAAACTACATACCTTTTCAAACTAGCATACCTACATTACCGGACTACTTGCAAACTTCTAACTATTTTGTAAAATAAAAACCGGAAGCCCATGAGCTTCCTTGATCTTCCTTCAAGATAGCCTCTGAACTAAAATCTGACTGTATTTGAGTACAATAGTCAGTGGTGGTATTTGTTAACGACCCACCTGGGCTTACCCAACCTTTGTATTTTACTTTTTATAGGAACCAGGAGAAAAGTCTAGCTTTCGATTTTCTTTCAACAAAGTTCCTATTTTATGTCCAATATTCTGGAATCGTGAAAGTTTGTTTTGACTTCCAAGTCAAACATATGTTTATGATTTTATTTGTTCATACAAATTGCTTAAAACATCATGTTTACATATGCATTTCTAATGTAGTATAGTGTATAAAAATCAGTTGGTATATTTTCAAAATCACTCTAAATGACATAAAATATTTATTTATATAAGAATTTGTAATGGCGAAAGGTTATAATCAAATATTTATGAAAAAAGAGATTTTTTCTGCACATGCAGATACAAATTTTCTAACGAATATATATTAGTTTATGTTTTATTAATTAAATAATCAACATAATAAATTACTATTTATGTTTGACAAAAGTTTAAATCAAATATCAAATTATTTATATATGACAAAAAAATTCATCAATATATATACTCTATTATTGTATTAATTTTTTAAAAAAATCACATTAGAATTCTAGAAAATATCTTAATAACTTTTTTCTTGATTATTATTTAATTATAAATTATTTATATTTTATATTTTAACTTTTCTAATAAAACTATTATTTCCATATGACAGCACAATTGTTTTGTCATCTCATAACACCAAATTATATATAGAAATTATCTTATTTTAATATATTTTAAAAATTTTATTATATTAATTTATGATCAATTATCTAATATAACATATAAATCTAATATTATTAACATAAAATCTATTTTTAGTTATATAATAAACATTAATTAAGGGTATAAATAATATTTAATCAGTAGTATATATATATATATATATGTAATAACAACGGCAACTTGAGTATTTTTAAAATATTTTGTCTAAGCTAACATAAACTCTTTATCTTTAACTAATAAAATTCGTCATTATTTTTTTTGTATAAAATATATCTAAAACTATACCGGTTTTGAATAATGAATATGGATTTTTGTGATTTAAAATAATCTACAGCATTAAATCTTAAAGAGATCTAAACATACTAGTATTTGTCAATAATCTCGTATCTCCATACCAATTCTTTTAAATTTAGTTTGACACTTTGGATTCTTAACATTTGTCGTATTTATAAAATGCTTCGAAAGAGATCTCAAACATTTAATGTGGTTGACCAGAAAACAATTAAAATTTGACGTCATAGTACTATGGTTCAGTGGATGATCAGTATAGTTGATTTGATTTAAATATACATTAAGTTTACGAGTAGTATGATGCCTCAGAAAAAAAGCTTTAAAGTATAAAGAACTTACAATACGCAAAAAAAAAAAAAAAAACTTTACCAACGTTGGGAAATATATTTAGAAGTTAAAAGTATTTTGATGCACCCTCCAGTTGAATTTACTATTAGAATATTTATTTTATTTTATTTTACTTGTAGCAGATTCTGGACCTACATATCTTTCAGATCTGGCAACGAAAGTTGAACATAAACATGCCATGGTCAATCATCCTATAAACTCATACGCAACAATTAACCAAATTAAATTTAAAATTTTGCGGTAAAGTAGATATATAATTCATATTAGAAAAGCTTGGAAATGACAAAATTTTATTCACTAAGCAATATAATAATTCACGGTTCAACAACCATTGAACCTAAATCGTTACAACTCATAAGATCAGTATCTTCTAGTAACAAAACTTTCCTCGATCTCTCAACTATAACTAAACATTTTCAGCTAAGCTTCTAATCTCAGTCTCCTCCACGTCTGCAACCCCAACAGTACAATCCATCGAGTCGAATATTAAATCAAGAAAGTATAACAACGAAACAAGAACGCAACAAGTTATGAACATCGGTATAGGACCAAAGATCCATAGGAACAAAGGAGATGAGAAGTAGAACGCTCTTAGTCCTAACGACCAAAAGTAACTCCCACGGTTAACTGTAGCAGCCACATAGTCTCGGTTCATCTTAAGACTACCATGACTGAGCTGTTTAAAGGGGACATTGATGAGGATGCTTGCATGGCTGTAATAACGGATTGATTGAACGTTGAGAAGAAACGCGACTAAGAAGCAAACAAGTATTGCGAAAAACTTGATCGAGAAGGCTCGGTCGCTTTTGTCTCCAAACACAAACCAAACTGATCGTTCTCCTGTACCGCTGGTCATTAGTATCGCGATTAGTGAACACAACATTATTGCGGTTGATGCCAATAGTGTTGACGCCATTATGTTGTTTCTTAGCGTTTGAACCGCTAGAACACCGTTTTTCGATGAGTCCTGTTCTCATTTGTTGTAAAGGGTATATATTAGTTGTAATCAAATTGTACAAGTATCTGATGAAAACCAAAACGAGGAATATTACTGGTGGATAACATAAATTGTTTTTCTTTTTTACATTTTTTGAAAAAAAATAAGAACATTAGCATCTGTTTTTTATTCCTCAAGAAACGCAAAGCATATTTTCAGTGCCTTATTACATTTTCAGAGCCGTATTAACTTTCACATCTGAGACTCATTTATTAAGAAAATTTCAAGAATCTGATTTTTAAAATCTAACTATTATGTTCACATATATGAAAAGAGAAATCTCTGGAAATAACAAAATCATGCATGATGATTATACATAGATATAGTATATGTATGTACACAGATTCTCAACATCACATACTCTAATACAAAGGAACTGAAAACATTGACAAAATTTTATTTTCCAAGAAAATCTCTACACATGCATACACTTATATGTCAGTGATCATATTTATTGTTATGTATATACATTAAACACTATATGCAACTTACACCCAAAAAAAAACTTAATAATATGAGAAGATAAACACACATCCACACGGGTTAGTAGATATTCACGAGATTCTCAGTTATCCCCAACCCTCATAATATAACCAATGAGCTTAATCCAAATAAATAAATTTCCTGAGGAAACAAACTTTTCATTTTCGGGGAAGATGTTCATCAACTCATGCTAATAAACATGGAGGGGTCTAAATCTATGACAAAATTAAATAATAAAAAAAGGAAATACCTCCATCATGGCTTGGACCCAGAGGCGGCGATTAAAGGCGTTGATGCCAACGACAGTAGAAGATGGACGATGGATGATGCGATGGAGAAGCCACATATGATAGAATACCATCAAACCCATTCCTAATGGCACCAATATGTAATCCAAATACTCACACTTCATTCTTTGAGATTGATCCAAGTCACACAAGAAAATGATAATTAGAAGAAAAAAATGAATTGAGACAGAAGAGATTGTGAGAATCAAAGCTGAGCACGGGTCTTACGTGGACCCTTTCGCATCTCTCTGTCTACTACTTAGTTATGTGCTTCCCGGATTCTCAGCCACTCTATCTCCTTTTATAGATTTGAATCTTTACATACAAAAGTGTGTGTATTAGTTTATATATGTACACATGCCTCCACTTCTAAACTACGAACCCTAGCGGTTATGTTTGGACCGGGGTTTGCCATCGGGTTGGCATTCCCCATTTGAATCCCAAAAATATACATTTAAAATTATTTAAATTAAATCAATGCACGTTGACTGATTAAGATTCTTTAGCAAAACACTTGATTTTATATTAAAAATCCCCCTCTCAAGTCGGTTAGTTGTTATATTGAATTCCAGAATGCTAAGAATATGTCAGAATACATTTAACCAAAGAAATGAATATGAAATGCAAAACAAAACTGTCCCCAAAATAAACATTTATTTTATTTAAATCAACTAATATACGTATATCACCTAATTGATTATAAATATTATTTTAACATTTTTTATATATGTATATTCAATATTTCCACTCTAGTTAGCTAGTTATATTGAATCCCTCAATGCTAAGGAAAATGCATTTAAACCAAGAAAATAAAATATTGAAAATGCAACTTATGATACTTTTTGTCACCATAATTAGTAACGCACTATTGTGATCTACTAAAATATTTTAATCTTTAAGGTTGACCATTTGAAATCAACTGAGTTATTGATAAATTAACAAGAAAAGCATGCAAAAATAGATATATTTCATTTTCCAACAACTATCACTGCAAATATATTTTTCTATTAACTCAACTCAAAAGCATGCGGGCAAAAGGTTTCTTTAAACTTTTTGAATTTTTTTTTCCAAAAGCATGCATAAGCAATCTTTTCCACAATGAAAGTTGTCATGAAAGTAAGTACTCATAGAACATTTTAAGTTGCAGAGTTCATTTGCAAAGTGCTAAAAACGGTAAAGTGAATTGAACATGACGAAAATTTGTTTTGAGCAATGGAAAACTTTTCAGAATATCAATGGCTCACTAAAGGCCCACTAAAATATCTTTGCTTCACAGCTGATTTTGGGAGTATATTCGCTGATGCTTCCCCACCAGAACGATGTTGCCATTTCTTTTTCTTATTATTATTAGTACAACAACAACTCCAGCAATCTACATATTTTTCTTTTAATAATGGGAGTGATCAAAAGTTTCTCACGCCATTCAATATTATAAGTTTTTGAAAATTCCACAAGTACTTCATGCATGGCATGGACCTGTGTGGTCCTAATCTTTAGTGCAAGCAGTGTAGCCGTAACTCGTCAAAACTCTCGATAGTTAGGCTAGGAAATAAATTATAAGAATTATAATGCATTATAAGCTTTTGAATAACTAATACTACACAATTTACTAATGGATGCGATTATGTATTTTCCAACTGTGCTTCACTATCTTGTGTCTACTGGAAGTACCTTATTGAATAGTAAAACAAACAAACAAAACATCTCAAGTACGCTTCAACTAAATGTTTAACATAATTTCTTTGCAATCTTGATTATATATAACTGAGACTTTAAAAAGGAAATCTTTGTTTATATTGTGGTACCACTTGCTAGAGAGTTGAGCCGTTGATTTGTCACTTGCATGTCCTTTCCACGACAACTACTACCACCAAGTTCTATTGAAAGGCTTGAAAGCCAAGAAAATAGTATTAAGTTTAGCATTTAATTGACATGTTACCATTGCCATTGCTAAAGCCTTTCGTTGACTTATTTGTTTCAAAGAATTTAATTAATCTATTGTTTTCAACTATGTTATTTGGATCTGTCTCGAACTAAACATCCGTACCTCTCTTCACATGGGTTTATCCGTTCATGTCCGATCAGGTTAACACGTGGTTATATTCATAAAGCTGCCAACATGAGTGTAGGGTATATGATTATTTAGAGCATCTGCAACCATGTACTCCTAATGTGAGTCCTTAACATTATTAAAGTATTTTTTTTTTTTTTGAATAGTTAAGGATTTTTGTCAAAATAGTATGTCCTATGGTGTTCCACAATTAGGAGTTCTTAGAATTTTTTTTTTAAAAAAAGTGAAAAATCAAACACACTTGATCGGAAATCAAACTCGGATCGATACAATCAAACAATTCAATTACACAGCACAAAACTGGAATACAAAGGAGAAGTTTTCAGGTGGTCTTAGAAGCTGATCAAACTTACCGTCGTACCGGTGATGTCATTCTCTTGCACTTGTGCTGATTGAGCAACGTATGCTGGAGCCGCTACTACAGATGGGACTGGTACTGGAACATGGTAAGCAGCTAAAAAAAAGAGAGCTCCCAATTAGCCAAAAGACTTCCAAACATATGAACCAAAAACAAGATTCTATAAACATAATTTAAATCATGTGTTATGTTCTCATACCTTTAGCGACATATTGTTGCTGCACACCAACGTTTTTTCTAGGCGTAGCTACGCTGATACGCATAGGCCTTGCTGAGCAATACAAACCATTCATTTCCGACATTGCCTTGTTCCTTTCATTTTCATCTGCAAATTTCACAAACTCGTAACCTTTTTCCAGTACTTGGATCAGTAACAACCTTGGCACCTCTCACAGAAGCATCAATGTCCCATTGTACGTCTGAAGCATTCTCTCTGCTGCTGCGTGAGATACAAACTCTATGAAACCATACCCTTCAGGCTGGCCTGTAATCTTGTTACGTATCACCTTCACATAAACGAGCTGCACATATATGGATACAAAGATCATTATAATGTTGATTCATTTATCCTTCCACACTTAAAAATTTAAGAGCATAACTATAAACTCTGCACATCAAAAATGGTGAGAGCCTTTAAACCATATTGAAAGACTCAGACTTTCAATGAAGGGTAAGCAATAGACAGTTTAATAGACCACACCAGGTATCTATACAACACTTAACATCCTCAAAACCAAAGTTATTTGTCTTCATCTATTCCTAAACGTCAAATAAACCTTATCAACGACAAATAAATAGATATGCAGAACATAACATTATACTGTTGATTCAAATATTCTTTCAATTTCAAATGTCCTCTAACCAAATTGAAAGACTCGGACTTTCAATGAAGGGTAAGATAAAGACCGTTTCATAGAGCCACCAAGTACCTATAAACTGTGCACATCAAACATGGTGAGAACCTTTAAACCATATTGAAAGACTCAGACTTTCAATGAAACTGTTTCCACACTTAACATCAAAGCCAAAACTATCTGCTTTATCTATCCCTAAACAGCAAAGAAACCTTAGAAAAATCAGATTGATACCAAACCCAGAGAGAAAGAAAACTAAAGCTGTAAATTGGAAGTATACAAAGTCACTACTACATGCAGAGAAGCTTAGGAAGAAGATAAAAAAGGTTAGCTCGCCTGTTTGGGAGAAGCAGGAAGTGAGATAGCTCTCGTCGACCCAATACTGTAAATCTCCAATCCAGAGGGTTCGTACTTCTTCTAGCGTCTGTGGATGGTGATAGCCGCCTTGCTGCTGCGGAGATTCGACGAGAGATTGACCTCGGATGAGAGAAGCCCACCTCCCTGTTGAATATTTCCGTGAACCCATCATCGATTTCTGCGACGTTGTCATCGGAACATCATCGATGGAAAGAGTTAATCGATAGAGAGAGAGCGAAACCGGAGAAGAGGAAGTGCCACGTCGATAAGGATTGAATCCTTCTAGCCCCTAATTAAGGACTGCTCCTTAATAAAAGATGTATTATTGATTTTCTTTTAATCTGATTTACCTAGGATTTTGGGCTAAGGATTGGCTAAATACACCGTTGCACTTGGTCTTACACTTACTTACAAAAACTCAAAACTCAAAACAAGATTCATGACATTTTGCTTTATTATAGAGCTCTAAGGACATGTCCATTGGAGTATCAGAAGGGGTTCACACAGTTCCAAATATATATATATAAAAGGCCCTTTGTTATGAATTTGTATCACAAAGCATCCCGCTATGAAATCGTATCAACACTGTTCCGCGGACTTCACGCCATGTGGTGACCTATGATTGGTTTGGCTATTAATTTTTTAAAAAAATAAAAAATAAATCAAACAAAAAAAATTAAAATAATCAAAAATGTACATTAGAAATTGAGAATGGTGAAATTTGCTCATGGGGGTGGTCTAAGATACTGCAAGTGCACGGCTCTTTAGGATTTGATCTATTAAAAAACTTTACTTGCCACACTATAAAATGTAGAGAATTGCCTAATCTTATAATTCAAAGTCCAAAAAGTTATTTTCCAAAGACTAAAAAAATACTCATCGACTATAAAAAAAAAAATTAACTAGAGAAAATGAAACGTCTTTATAAGTAACACAGTTTCTCTACAAAGTTAACTGAATGTTGCTGCCTATGAAGATTATACCCACCTTTGATGATATATATAGACCATATGCCATATATATACATTTTGTGATAAATGATAAACCGTTCACATAAGTGGCCCAAGAAGTTTGATAAGTGAATAAAATTAAGATGTGAAGGAGCAAAGAAGACGGGTGAAGTTAGGTAAAGCAAAGTCATCGCCCTCTCACACTAACTTCACGCTCTTCTCACCATTCCTCCTTTTCTTTCGTTTTCTTTTTTTTCCTATGATTTAACAAATAATTTTTGGCAAAATCTATAACATATTGTTTAATAAAAATATCTATAACATGTTCGGATGTTCCTATCATATCATATCTCAAATATTCAAATACATCATTCAATTAAACATCACCCGGACACGTGACTCGATCTCTTTCTCTTGTTAAAAATAAGAAAAACCAAATACGAAAATAAATAAAAGGAATTAAATAATGTTTAATAACTAAACAATAATATAAAACGGGAAAAACGAGGTGGCGGGACCCGTTAACTAACGGAGTTAACAATAATATCCGTTAGAAAACAGCGTTGAGAGAGTCTAATCTATAAATATATATTCTCATCTCTAGCTTCTATCTTGTTCCCTCACTTCGATCTTCTTCGTTCTTCCTCGCTTTGCTATCGAGAGTCAAAATTAGGGTTTCGTTGACGCGTCTTCTCTCTCGCCAGGTACGTCTCTCTCTGTATTAGCTTCTGCAAAATTTGAATTTCTTAAGAGAAATTTCTTAATCCTTCCGTCGGATCTGGTAGCTAGAGATTCGTTGCGCGAATAATTTCAAATTTGAATGTTGAATCAATTGAAACGATGAAAAATTTCGCGTGATCTTGAAAAGAAGCTGTGGAGAAAAGGAATTGATTAAGCTAAATGTGCAGTGATCTATCTACACGTGTCTCACATCGTAATGTTCTAAAAATCGGTTTAGGCCGCGTCTAAACGATCAATCAATCAGTTATAAATGGAACAATTTTTCTATCAAGAATTGTTTAAACAGTGTCTATAAAGCGTCTAGTTACCGCCTATCCATCTGATTAGTTTAATGTGTAGTGATCTATATACACGTGTCTCAGATTGTAATGTTCTAAAAATCGGTTTAGACGGCGTCTAGACACATCAATCAGTCGGTTATAAACGGAACAATTTTTCTATAAAAGAATTGGTTTAAACAGCTGTCTATAAAACGTTTAGTTACCGCCTATCCATCTGATTAGTTTAATGTGCAGTGATCTATCTACACGTGTCTCTGATTGTAATGGTCTAAAATCGGTTTAGGCGGCGTCTATCGGTTATATAATGGTCTAAAAATCGGTTTAGGTGGCATTCTAGCGGTTTAGGCGGCGTCTAGCGGTTATATAAACGGAATAATTTTTTTCAAAAAAAAATTGGTTTAAACAACGTCTATAAAACGTCTAGTTCCCGCCAATGGATCTGATTGTATGAAATTGATGTTTTTCTTCGGCTTTCCGGATTCTGCAGAGTATACAAAGATTGTGTGGATTAAGAAGATGGAGGTATTAGGAAAATCTAGCTCGGCCAATGTTATCTACTTGTCTGCGATTCTAGGTCGCAGCGATTGCGATGAATCTCACAAATGCGACTGGAAATGTGAGAACGAACTTGTTTTCGGGAACATGTACCGTTGCAAACTTACTGGACTCACTCACGTCTGTGACAACAACTGCAACCAGAGGATCCTCTATGATAACCACACCTCGCTGTGCCGAGCCAGCGGGCGGGTTTTCCCTCTCTCGCCTGCTGAGGAGCAGGCGGTGAGAGGTGTGAGGAGGAAGCTTGATTGTGAGAGTCTTCCTCCTTCTGAGAGCTGTTCGTTTAAGCGTCGTCGTCGTGAGCACGCTTCTCCCTTTGAGAGGTCTTTCACTGCTGTGAGTCCTATTTGCAGCCCTGCTGGAGATGGGATGGACTTGAGTTAGATCCATCAATGGTTGATCATCTACCTGAGAGGCTCTTTAATAAGACGTAGAATAACTTTCCTTTTTTTTTTCTATTTTCTTTTGGAAAACTATGGATAAGAGAGACTTATGTGGTGTTATTGCTCTAGCAGGGGAGGTCTAGGCACCTTCCTTGCCTGAAACAGAGCTTTTATCTTAATATTCTGTGAACTTTATGTAGTACTTATGTAGGAGAGACTTTATAATTTACTTGCTTCTACTTCTTGGTGGTGATGTTTGATATCTCTTGTTCATATTTAGTTGTTTGTGATTGATTGTACATAATGTTTATTTAGGCAGGCTTTTATTGAAGCTATGTATATTGTTTTGGCTAGCGTCCTATGAAGGGCCTAACACACCATTGGTGATGTCTGTAAGTGTGGTGCGACAGGATTTTTTTCCATGTTTCTAACCAATGCAGCATAGGTTCTTCAGTATAAAGGATATATTTCTGGTTTCTGATTTTGATACCTGATTCTAACAGTTTCTTTGTTGTACTTTCTAACTTTAATTTCCTTGATTGATTAGTGTTTGGGATCCTGAATGTGTGTTTATGTTTGTGCAGGTTTGCAATTCAGGAGAGTTTACTTGTGCTTCTTTTATGTCTATTGATTTGTTTTTTTTTATGTTTGATTTATGTTTTTCCTTCAGTAAAAGGAGTATGCCTAACTGTTTAAAGATAAAACCTTACTTTTGCAGGTTCACATGCGTTAGGGCTCAGCAGGAAACAACACGTTTGGTTTCATTCAATGGCAACATACGCTGATACTCCCTAACTATGAGAGAAAGGAAGGCAGTGAGCAGGTACACAGTTACCCAGCGATGATGTGATTGGCCAACTGCGTTCAGAATTATCAGCTATTCATGGTAATTATGTGATATGAGATTTATTGAATCGTCACGCTTTTTTATTTGCTCTACTTGTGAGTTCTGCTGCTGTACGAGTACCTACTTTGCTCTTAACTTTCATGTTTCTTATCTTCTGCCATGTTACGGACTTGTAGCTGGGGTTCTGATATTTGTCCAATATGTGTGCTCTTATGGTACAGGTACCCGTACAAATCTTTTTAGAATGTAGAGTTTCTGATGAAGTTCATGGAATCTGGGCTCTTATGTTACTCCCACCTAAATGGTTAAATCATGTAAGTAATCACAGACTCAGAATGATGATCTAAATTTAGTAAAAAAATGGCTTTTAAAAGATGGAACAGTAGAAGTGAATATAGGACATGTGGCTTCAACTTGTTCTTTTCTTTTCTTTTTGAGGTGGAATGTAATGGAATATTTTATTTATTTATAAAGCTTTACAGAAAGGTAGAGCCGTAGGCATTCGATGGTTTGATGTAAGAGCCTAGATTTTCTGGTATCGTGGAAGATTCTGTTCCAAAGAAGTTGGCAAAGTATCAAATGTTGACTCGACCTCTACGATAACATACGGTATGTTAATATTTCTCCCTATTAGCTTAGCTTGTGATGATAACAACCACTATGTATTTAACTATTCATCTTGTTTAGAGATCAAAATAATTTGTGTTTTTATATGTAGATCTTAAAATTCATGAATTTTAAGTTTCATAGTAAAAGAACAAAAAAAATAAGGATACAGACGTGTTTGATAAGTATACTTTTATCATTTAATATTTTGATTGTTGGTATTTTGTTCAATAAGATTAGATTTTGGTTACTTTTTGAATATTAGATATTTGTTCAATAAGATTATATCAACTCATTTGTTAAGGAACTAGAATATGAATTAAGCTGTTTTATTTGTTGTGGTTGGTGTAGCCGTGTAGATTCTCTTGCATCTTTTAGTAGAGGTTTCATTACTTGTATTATATTTCTCTACAATAATATAATGTAATGGATTGAAAAGTTGGACAAGTAAGGCAAAGAATTGCCTGGTCGGAGAGGCCACTGTCCTAAGAGTAATGCTAAACCTTAACTCATTGCCTTGCGGCTTGAACCTTTCTTAAGCAACCTCACCGCTTCAACATTTGATTTGACTTAGTATATACTTATAAACCCTGGTTCAAGAACCTCCCAGCCAAATCCATATTTGAGGAATCTTAAACCTTATTTCCATTATGGGAAGATCACCAATGATTCCCATGGCTGTTCTTATTTACGTTTCTCTACTGTTCTCTGTTTCTTATTCCTCCACGTTCGTCCTTACAAATAACTGTCCCTTTACTATCTGGCCCGGTACTCTTGCAGGCTCTGGCACCCCTCCACTACCCACAACAGGATTCAAACTTGATGTGGGACAGTCCGTTAGTATCCCCTCTGTTGTAGGCTGGTCAGGTCGAATATGGGCTAGAACCGGCTGCAACTTCGATGCAAACGGTACAGGAAAATGCACTACCGGTGACTGCGGCGGGAAGCTGGAGTGTTCCGGCAGTGGTGCTGCTCCTCCGACGTCACTTTTCGAGATCACGCTCGGTCGCAGTTCTGGCGACAAAGATTTCTACGATGTTAGTCTAGTTGATGGGTATAACCTCCCCATAGTTGCTTTCCCGAGAGGTGGTGGACTAGTTGGAGCTTGTAATGCCACAGGATGTGTTGCTGATGTTAACATTAACTGTCCAAAGGAGCTTCAGGTGATGGGAGAAGGAGAGGGAGAGGAAGAGAGAGGAGGGGTTGTTGCTTGCAAGAGCGCTTGTGAGGCGTTTGGTTTGGACCAATACTGTTGCAGCGGTCAGTNATAGTTGCTTTCCCGAGAGGTGGTGGACTAGTTGGAGCTTGTAATGCCACAGGATGTGTTGCTGATGTTAACATTAACTGTCCAAAGGAGCTTCAGGTGATGGGAGAAGGAGAGGGAGAGGAAGAGAGAGGAGGGGTTGTTGCTTGCAAGAGCGCTTGTGAGGCGTTTGGTTTGGACCAATACTGTTGCAGCGGTCAGTTTGCTAACCCAACCACATGCAAGCCGTCTTCTTACTCTACCGTCTTCAAGAGAGCTTGTCCTAGAGCATATAGCTATGCCTTTGATGATGGGACCAGTACTTTCACTTGTCAAGCTTCTGAATATGTCATTATTTTCTGCCCTGGCAGGTATATACAATCATGTTCCCTTAACTTTTACAATGCTCAGTTTCTGACTATACAGACTTGAATGACTTCTTGTTTCAGGGTAAAAAGACCAAACAGCCAAAACTCGGATCCACCTAGCCCGCCTCAGAATCCATATGACCAACAACCTGTGGCTCCACCAACTCAGAACCCTTATGGTCAACCTATGGCTCCACCAACTCAGAATCCATTAGATCAACCTGTGGCTCCTCCTATTCAAAATCCTTATGGTCAACCTATGGCTCCACCAACTCAGAGTCCATTAGATCAACCTATGGCCCCACCAACTCAGAATCCATTAGATCAACCTGTGGCTCCTGTGACTCAGAACTTGCCTGGACCAAGTCAGAATCCGAACGGGGAATCAATAACTCCCCCACCTCAGAATGGGCAGTTCATGATGCCTCCTCCCAGTGTAAACCAAGATCCAGATGACCACTTTATAGACCCTCCAATGGAGGATGAGAATCAAAGAGCTGAAACTGGGAAGGTTGGTAAGACTCATTCCTCGTCTGACATTCTTCGACCGTACCCTGTTTTGTTGCTTCTTGGTCTCGGTCTAACTACTTTGAAGCAATCGTGCCTGACATGAAAACATCACTGTTCTTAACGTTTTAATGAGATTTGATTCATAACTGTGTTGAAGGAAGCTAAACAAACCATGTTTCTTCTCTTCCCACAGATTACCTTGAATTGGATTTACAACTTATAAATTTAAAAGTACACTCTATTCCATGTATATGATGTTGTCTCAACTAAATAATGAAGATGATACGTTTTAAAAAAGAAAGAGAGAAATCAAAATCGCTACAATAAAGTAAGGTAAGCAACGTTGCAGAAAACAAGCTGACTTTCCATCATTGGTTCGAGGTTCAGCAGCGTTAGTCTCAGTCAGCAACTTGCCCAATACTCTGTTTTTCTAGTTTCACAACTCAAATGCTCTGTTTTAAAATAACTCTCAGAAGGATGTCAAAAAAAAAAAAAAAACTCTCAGAAAATACTCAAAATAGTAACAACCATTGTAAAACAGTCTTTGATTTGAATATAATTTCACATTCATTTCATATTTTTCATCATGTCTCGCAAACATAAACAATGCATTTATATATTTTTTTCTTACATATTTGTGCTTAAATCACTATGCTAACCAAAATCTTCACTAGAATTCACGTAAATAAAACCATATGAAATGTCATCGTCGGTGCCTCGTGGAGTGGTCACTGTGTTTTAAAAAAAATAAAGAACGAAAAAAACTGTAGTGTTTTGGCTTTAATAATGAAATCATTCAATATTCTGAAACCTGAATTGTTTATGGTTGTTTCGTCACGTCCTCTTTATAGTTTTTCCTTTTTTTAAGTAGTATGTATAAAATAAACATAGACAATGTTTTCAAGAAAAGACCGATTGCGTTTGAGTTGTTGGAACCATTTTTTTTTTTTTTTTTGCTAAAAAAGTTGTTGGAACCATGACCATCCTAAATTTCCTTTAAAGACCTACTGGCTACTTCGTTTCACCATTTGAAACTGTGGTTGTATATCAAAGAAATGGTTGTTTAAGTTAGTTATTACATAAACTGATAAACATCTAAAACAATTGATGTAATGAAAATCACCCGGAGGCATATGATGTGAGGCTACATATTGTATATGGGATCTTTACAATTGTCCACAAAGTATATACTTCTCTTTAGGATTTAGCTTTCCAGACAATAACAACACGAACATTTATGTTAGGTATTCATAGACTGCTTTTACCTGCTCTAGACTATGAAGCTAATTTATCACAACACAATCTTTTGATCAATAACAAAAATGAGCATTTTCGTTTGTTTAATTGCTTTGGAAATCCAAATTTTAATTCAAAACAGTTTGAAGCTTGTTCCAAGACTTTCTGGAGCAAAAGAAAAAACAAAAGAACTATATATACAAATTGGCATTGATATGAGCCATTTTTGTGTTTAAAGTTACATCCAACAATTATAAGGATATATCCTTTACACACATATCATATATACATATATAATATGTCTAGGGTGAGGCCAAGTCGGAGGAAGAGGAGGATGATGAAGAAGAGACACGAGAGAGTTCGTTGACGAGGAAAATAATGCGAGAATGGTAATCACGCGCCTCTTCTAGCGATTCAGCTTCGAGCTCAGCGAGCTGAGAGCAGAGATGCTCCTCAGCCTCCTCAGCCACCTGCGTCCGCCGCCACAACTGTGACATCTCTTTCTTCATTTCCTCCACCACTTTTTCCATCTCCCCGTTCTTCCGTCGTAGCTCCTCCACCTCTGAAGCCGTCGCCGTCATAAGGTTTCCTCCCTTTCCCATTTTCTTTTCAAAGTTTCTTTTAAGTTCTTGTTTTTGTGTTCTTGTTTCTTGGTTCTTGAATTCTCCTATTTTATAGGCGTCACGGTGACTTGGCTCGTTTGGGGTGCGTATATGTCTAGGTTCAGTGTATCTATTGGTCTTTTTTTTTTCCTTTTCTGGTGAGTTATTTTTCCTCCTCTAGAACATTTTCTTTTTTATTGTTTGATACACGTTGAATCCCACAATATATATTTACCAAAACTTGAGTGGTGCAACAAAATTATTCTAGAGGTTTGAAATCTTGTTTTTTTTTTGGGTAAAAAGAGGTTTTAAAAGTTGTTGGGGTTTTGAAGAATTTAGGTAAATTTCTGAGACATACAATGATACAATATTTTATGATGCTATTTTGAATAAACTATTAAAGGATTTTCAGTAAAAAAAACGATGTAAAAGAAGAAGGATTCTGACCCATACCATAAAAATGTTTTTTCTTCTTTTTCTAATGCATTACTTTCTTCATTGTGAATCTTTAAAAACATATTTGAAGATATTTTCTTGGCGGAAACGCTGACACTTGATCAAGAAATGTATTAAAAACCTTCAATGCAGCCCCACTTGTTTTATAAATCAAATTCAAAACCCCTCTCGTTACTTTAGAAATTGAATACGTAGGTCCGCATTTTATTTTATTTTGCGCGTGTGTGTGTTTACGAATTGAAGAGACTATGTTAAGCTACCTTGTTTGGTTATAATTTGTTTGAATGTCTCTTAAATGATGTTTGGTTGTTAGATACTTACATGTAATGTGAAAATAAAATAGTAACACTATTTTTCTTGTATCCGTCAAAATGAATATGAAAATCATTTTCTCTACCTTTATCATCTCCACTGATATACTTCGCAAAATGAATGGCTACAGCACAAAGCCTTTGTCGACGTAATCATGTTCCCACTTCTTTCTCTTAATTGAGCAACTTCTTACCAAAGTCAATGGCCGTCACGTCATGATTATACAACTATTACTTCCTCCCATATTCTCTGATTTAAGTTAGAGTTATTTTCGTTGCAGGTCACATTGTATATTTTTATTACACGTGAGAGCACATTGTGCTACTGAGGCACTTTTCAGAAGTTAAAGACTTATTTATCCTCTAAAAAGTGAAATCAAAGAGGGTATTGCAGTAATTGGGTAATTCTTTCTAGTTGGGCTGGTTAGCTATTTATTTATTTTTAAATAGGGTTTAGGTTGGTGGACATGAAACGTAGATGAAATTGATTCACACGAGCCCGGGGAAAAAATAATTCTCGTCAGATTTTTTTTTCTTCAGAAACAATAAAAAGCAGAGAAAACATGAAGAAGATAATTTCTGACGAAAGATGTTGTAACGGTGGAGACTGCGATGTCGCAAAAGAGGAGAGATTTAAAGGGCAAAAAAAAGGTTAGATCCATTTATTGTTTACATCTCGACTTTTTTGGATATTTCCGGTTGCTTCCATCTCGATTCTCGATGTGAGGTTATAGATTCGCAAATTTTTAGGTTAGTGTTTTAATTCTGAGATTTTGTTTTTGGGATTAGGGTTTGAGATTTCAAATTTGGGATTTGGATTCGAGATTTCGATTTTGGGACTAGGGTTCTATTTCAGAGTTTGTGAGTCCTATTTTTTTCTTTTTCTATTGGTTTTACAGTGTTGGCGCTGAATGAAGAAAGCTTTCCTAATTTTGGTATTAGGGTTCCAATTTCAGATTTTTCTAAATGATAATCGAATTGTGTAAAGATGATATTAATTTGGCCAAAAAATGTTTATATTGTTGTTTAGTGTACATGTGTACAATAGGGTATAGTTGTCTGCATGCACATTGAGTAGCATTAGAGCAAAATGTGATGGCCACTGATTTTAGGAATTCAAATCCATGTGTGCTATGTTTGACATGCTAATGTGTACACACATACAAAGAAAGCAAGATTATACACATGGACAGTTCAGCAGCAAAAATGTACATCCTACTCATTTGAGAAGTCAAATCTGTGTATAAAATACGTGGCTACTAATTTTGGTTCTTGAATGTATACTCCTTGTCAGGTGAAGCATGATTGAAGTGTGGTTGTGTGTCTCCTATGTATGTCACGGTAATGTGTACATGCGTACAAAGAAAAATGATTGTACACATGGACAGCCTGAGATACATTTACAAAATGTACACGGTCGGAGTATGAAGATAGTAGTTAGGTGAGAAGATGAAAACCTTTTTGTTATTTTCTCTTTTGATGGTAGGTCTTTTGATATAAACATTTATGTATTACAAGAAATAGATGTATGTAGGAATATTGTGTTAGATTTGTATTGGTAAATTTAGCAAGGAAAATTAATAGAAATAGAAGGTAACAAAGGAACATGTCCGCATTAACATCATTCATGTTATGAGGCTCCCTTAGGACATCATTGAGCGCAAACTGTACATATGAACATCATTCATCATAAGATGTACATAAGGAGAAAACATGTAGACAAACTTTCCAATATGGTAAGGAGTAGACGTGTACACAAACAACAATTTCCAAATACATTATACGTTGTAAACGTGTGTACAAAAACATAAATTTTCATATATATACATTACTATGCTTGTACAGAAATGAAGATGTCCATATGGACATCATTCGTCGTAAGATGTACATAAGAAGAAGACGTGTACACAAACTTTCACCTATAATTAAGAGGTAGGCGCGTACAAAAACGACGACGTACATCTGGACGCCGTACATTGTAAACACGTATACAAAAACAACAATATCCTCATGTACATTGCAAATGCATGTACATAAATGAAGATGTACATAAAGTTAGCTGAGTAGAACATTAACATCTAATCCTGATTAGAGTGGAACATTAACATCTATCAGTGTTTGAAGCATCGACACTAAAAATATATAGAAAGATCAAAGTTTCTACCAATGGCATTCTCAAACAATAGGCTGGCCAGATTCTATTGTTCAAATCAACGGAGTAAGAGCAATATTAGCTTATGTTCTTAATCAATCGTCATCATACCTACATGATTTCACGGTATAGCTTCTCGAGTACCTCCATGAACAAGACACTTACAAAGATAAACATTTTTGCACTTCCATTCTTCTTAGATCCAGATTTCCTTCTTCACTTGTTGTTAAATTTCACTATAACAACTATTTAGAAACCAAAAATTATGGGGTAAATGGCAGTCTCTACAGTTCTGGTAAATGGGAAGATGAGATTTGTTTTTTTACTTTACACTGAAGAAGAACCAAAAAAGAAGAGATAGAACGTATGGAAGAGGTGAAAGTGGATAAGTGATGCTTGATCTGAACCGTCGAAAAGAAAAAGATTTAATTGGATGGTTGTGGTTAAAGGAAGCTATATGTCTTATCCAAATCTGCAATTTTAAATCCTAACCATAGGATATGTTTTTATATCAATGGTTGGGACAAATGCCCGCCAACTGTACAACAACTATTTTTTTTTTATTTTGCTGCCTTAAGATTAGAATATAACGATAAGAGAAATGAATAATTGAGACAGAACAAGAATTGGAGTGAATTGATGTGAAAAGTGTGTTTGTATAACAATGTGTCCTATCCTAAATTAAAGATAAGGAAAGTGATCTGCAGTGATAATATTTCTTTAAATTACCCTCCGATCTTTTTATTCTTAGTAAAAGAATTATTAACTATTTCTTGACTGATATTTGCAAGGAATATAATTATTTCTTGACTGGTATGTGCATGGAATATTTTTTTATTCTTAGTATAAAAATTATTAACTATTACTAATAGAGGCTTGCCAACTGTTGATATGCATAGTTGGAATATGCTTTATGGATGCTGGTGCTCACTATCTCTGTATAGTTTATACTTGATTAATAAATTATCATCATCATCAAAATATCTCAACTAGATTATAAAACACCAGAAACAATGGTACGTGACCACCAATTCACCATCACTAATTTATAGTTTTGCAAGTTCAAAGTTAACAAAAATAAATAAATAAAACATTTGAAAAGGAAGACTAGTAAATGTATCACCGACTCTCTTTAAAGTAAAAATAAAGATTATGATAACGAAAATGTGTATTGTTCATCTCCAAATCATATATTTAGTTGGTTTGTCCTCCATAAACATTTTGTAAAACACCATCATAACGTGTAGTCCTTATTTGTGGACTTCTATTATATTTTAAGGAATCAAACACAAGATGGACATACGATAAGAGGGAACTTGCGGCAAACATCTTGACCAATTGCTTCAGTAAGATCAGGCTTATTATCTCCCATTGTTCCTACCTCGACCCTCCAGTTGAACCGTTTCACAAGGTTGGCCAATGTGACTTCCACCAAGGCTAATGCAAACCTGATTAAAGGACATGCTCTTCTCCCTGAACCAAATGGAATATACTTGAAACTTTTTCCTTGAAAATCTACCAGCATGTCTAAATGTCTCTCTGGCTTAAACTCTTCTGCCTCTGGTCCCCAAGTTGCAATGTCTCGTTGGATTGCCCATGCATTGATTAGCACCTGTTGTTCCAAACAGAATGTTCCCGCAGCTATGTCATAAGCTTTGTCATGTAAAATTTGATGATATTGTAAGATTTAAAGACTTTATTGTAGCTATGTATAATCTTTGTCATCTAAGATTTTGTATTATTATTATTTGTTAAGATTTTGTATTATTAGATTTAAAGACTTACTTGCGTTCCCGCAGCTATGTTATATCCATGTAACTCGACATCTTCACTCAACAGTCGTGGAATTATTGGAAGTGAGGGATGTAGTCGAAGCACCTCCTTGATCACAAGATTTAAATAATTCATCTTCTCAACTTCTTTCTCCGTTACATATAAATTATGCGCTGACCCAGAACGAATCTCACGTTGAAGTTTCTTCATACACTCAGGATGTCTCATAAGCTCTGTCATTGTCCATTCTAGTAGCGTAAAAGTTGTCACTGATCCTGCTAACAGCATATCCTTCAAAAAAAACAAGAGCTAACTGATTATAGTTAAATTGATTTTAGGTTGAAAACCATGATAAATAACAATTTTTTATACTTTTATAATGATATTTGATGTACATTATTTGTATACCCATATTTCTAGAAAACTATGTTATAAAAAAAAGAAAACCAAAGACTTTAATTTGCCTACCAATAAAATGAGTTTTAGGTCGCTTCTGTCTAGCTCAATTGGTGTTGTCTTATCTCTTTGTAGAGATAACAATATATAGAGAATATCTGACCTACCTTCATATGCATCTTCATGTTGTTGCACTAGTTTCTCCAACAAAACATCAATCTCGTTATATACTTCCTCTACTTTCTTATCGAAACCTCGGATTCTGTCTATCCACGACAAAACTGGTATGAAATCGCCGAGAGGGTATGCACCCAAGATCTCAATGAATTTCATCACAATGTCATGTGAAATATAATCATCACCTCTCTCGCTGCTATACTTTTTCCCAACGACAATTCTTCTTATTACATCGTTTGTAAGAGTCGTAAAGAGTTCGCTTAGATTTATAGGTGAAGACAAAGAACTCGCTTTCTCAAGCTTTTCCATCATCGTATTGATCTCATCTACTCTTATATTCTCGAAGGACTGAATCGTTTTTTGGGTAAGGAGATTCTGAACGCAGATACTCTGCATGCATCCAAAACACAAGATAAATTAACTACATGTTGAAAATCTACTGGTCCATATATAATATACAGTTGGATACTTCAAGATTGTGCTTATATATAGTTGGCTGATGCATATCGTGCGTGGAAATATTGTAAACGGACAAGGTTGTAATGTAGTATTGTTCATCTAAAATTGAATTTTAAAATATATTTTGATATTTGAGAGTGTACTGATTTTTTTGATTTAAAAAGTGTATAATTATAACCAAAACTATGTTTTATCAGTTCAAGACATATAAACACATACCAAATTTGTTAAAAAAAACACATACCATATAAATTAATGAATATAGTTTACTAAATAGCAGATGTTTTTAAAATATTATGTACCAACAAAACAAATCTTCTAATCATAATGAAACTTTTTTCTGTATAAAATCGGTCTTAAGGGCTTTTTCTAATTTCTGAAACAATACATAAGGGATCATATGTTCAGACAAAACATTAGAATATTAGTCACCGAGATAAATATATTTAGACAAGTACAAGAGAAGATCACACACAACACAAAACTTGCCAAAAAAATATAACCAAAAAGCAAAAATTACCTTAGCCTGTCTCCAATATTCTCCATAGGGAGAAAAGGCTATTTCTCTCCCATTGAAAAGTTTATCGACCGTTTTGGTTCTTGGGCGATTAGAAAACTTTACATCGTGTGTTTTCATCACTTCTTGAGCTACTTCAGCCGATGAGACTACGAGGATAGGGACACAACCGAAGTGAGGGTGGAGGCTGATCAGCTGGTGGAGGTTTCCGATCACCGGAAGTCGCCAAGGAGACGGTGGTGGCTTAACTTTAGTAGTGGTGGTTCGTGTTAGGAGTGGTTTTAGGAAGACAAAGGCTAAGAAAGTGGCTAAGAAAACAAATATTGATATCATTTCCATTTCGTTAATTACTGAGAAAGTTGGTTTAAGTAGTATATAATCTTATGTGAATTCAGCATCTGATCTTCCTTTGTACTCTTTCTATATATATAGTAATCTAGATGGCATGTAGTAATGAGTAATACTAAAATGGACGTCATGTAAAAATATTGTATGTATAAACAAAGATGGTACGTTGCATGGTGATGTGAGATCAAAATTCATCAAGTTATAAAACATTGTATATACATATTCTTTTCAAAAATGCGTTCCAAACTAAATAAATAAATAAGAAGTATCATGAGCAAGCGGCCAAAAGTACATATTAGTGATTGATATATGCATCAACATTAATGTCAATATGTAAGCACCATCCGGCTTAACCGGCCGGTGTCATATGTATATGTGACACCATGCTTCGTTCGTGGCCAATGCTCACCTATACACGTAGAGATAGGTGGCACAAGACCCAGTGTCTGCCAATACGGTTATCGTTTCTTCCAAAATGGTGTTGAGCTACACCTGGTTCTGCATGCTGAAGACTCAAAAACTGATGAGAACAATGTATGTTTTGTTGATCAAATCAGAAAGTACAAAGTGCAAGTGTACGCTGATGTGAGTGTGCCGTTCTTTTTATAGTTAATAGAAAACGCAGTGACCGATGTGGACATTCAAGCATATGAACGTCATCAGCTTTTACTAAGGTTACATGTGATTAATGATGGCGAAACTTGAATGTAAATGATGCGTTTACTACTTTCCTGGATATAAAAATCTGAGGTTTAAGATTTGTTCACATGCTAAAAAAATTAAACATTACTTTTTGTTATACTTTTAAACAGTTTAAAAATTTTATATAATTCCCAACAAAATTCAACCACTTATATTTTTTTCAGCTTAATTATATGTTATTTTTTAAGTGAAAAACATTAACTAAAAATAGAACATCAACTCTTTTGTATACAAGAAAAAAAAAACTAAAACATCAATCATTTGTATACGGAAAGAGTAAATACTGTAAATGTTTACAGAAAGCACTTGTAGATAAGGCAGAACCGATTTTGAGCACATATTGATGAAATATTCTTTTTGGTTCCCAAATTTTCAAAGATATTTCAACCCACAACTAAAACTTAGTGCATTTATGATTTACCACCAAACGCACAGATGCAGGTGCAGCTTGTCAGACTCAAAGGCCGTTGCTTATAGATTCTGAAGCTAAGCCTCTCTCATGTACATTGCCTAAGAAAGTTCAAGTAGCCAGTTGTGTACTCTATATGAAGACAAGTGCCTGGTTAAGCAGCTTATGTTTCAACTGATATAACTTTAAGTTGTTTGTGAGAACGTTTGGTTGCTGCCTGAAACTTCACACACCTCTTCTCTAAGCACCTTCACAGCTTCTGAGACTCCATCCTGAAAACCATTACCCTTAAGCTATCAGTTGCAACAAATTACTCAAGAAGAAACATGGTGCTTTGATTCAGTAGGAGAAAGAAAGATACCTCAAGAGACAATATTTTAGCGGTTTCCATGGCACTAGCTCTAGTTTTTGCAGACAGTGCATCGTATACAGCTTTTGCTACCACTTGTGCAGCTTCCATGATGCTCTCATCATTTGATTCCTCCGGGAGCAACTGGTTTCTTTTCAATGGTTGTGGAGCAACCCCAAGCCACGTCATCTTTTCTGCCCAATAGAACTGATCCATCATAAATGGGCATATGATCTGAGGAAAGACATGACACACAGTATGTTGTCACTGTCTTTTTGGCATTTAAACTTGAGATACATTCAAATAAACACCAATACTATGGTTTATCAAACAAAGCTTACAGAACAAAAACAGTTAATCAGTATCCATAACCAATCTACAGGTCTCTGTAGACAAACAATTAGTTTTTTTACCATTTTATCTCAAAGTAACATACACACACGCCCAAAGATATTATAAGTTTGTGGAGCTAAAAACAAACCTGTGGGATTCCAGCATGTAATGCTGCAGCTGTAGAACCACTATTCTCCAACAAGGAAACATTAAAAAACAAGACAAAATCAGTTCTCATCAATATATATATGTCCTAGCTCGTTAACAAAGATTAAAGACCAGCTAGCTGAAAAATTTACCTGCCACCATGATGAATTGCAGCAGCACATCTTCGAAACAGCCAATTGTATGGCACCATACTAACTCAAATAGATTAAAGAGATGAATACTTAGTTTAGTAAAAAGCATGTAAGAGAATAACTTTGAAAGATGTGCAGATGTACTCACCCAGAGAAGCAGAAAAGCTTGCCGTTGAAGATAGAGACTCCCTCTTGTAAAGATCTTTTCACCGGTTCCTGAGCAATGGTGCAAATTGCTGCTTCTAGAGGTTCATAACCCGCTGTGAGAATGATGAATCTGTAGCCTGTAATCTGGATAACAGACTCGAGAACTCGAAGAAAGGCCAGAGGATTCTTCATAAAACCCATGCTGCACAAGCAGTGAGAAAAAAAAAAAAAAATCACTTATAAGCATAAGTTAAACATCTGACATAGAAATTAGAAATGATTTAGAGCGGTCAACTTAAAGTTAGACCTTCCAATAGAACTCAACCCTACAAATATAGGAAGAGCTGGCTCTAAAGAAGATACAAAAGTATACAACTCTGCGTGGTTTGAGCATGTATGGGAATCTTCTGTATCCAGAAGCCCTGCAGAGGGATTGTCTCCACACTTGTTACATGAAAACTGCCACTCGTTGGGTAAAAACCAAAAGCCACACACTCGAACACTCAATGGCCAGTAATCTGTTCATCATAAGACAAAATTGAATACAATGAAAATGCATAAAATAAAAACAAAGCTTTGCCAGGTCATGGCTATTGTTGTGAGATAGGTACCAGGGCATTCCACAATTTCTTTGCTGAAACCATACCTGTTGCAAGGTTAATAAATAAGTAACAGGTCACCAACTAACTTATGCAATGTCATCTAGACTACGTTATATCAGTATAATGTTGCAACTAAACTTCTAAATTTAATCAGAGTTTTAAAATGTGAAAAGTACACTAAATGGGGTTTAAGAACACTCTAAGATATATGAAAATAAAATCTTGATAGGAAGAAGACTGCAAAGTAATGGAACTTTAGCACCAAGAGAAGTCACAACTCACAAGACTAGTGGAGAATGTGGCCGGTTATGCCAGATTGGAAGGTCTGTTACTGGATCCTGCACTAAGTGAGAAACGTGTTAATTTCCAATAACTTTTAACCAACAGTAATTCAATAAACTCAATTAATCTTCTCAAAATTTACAATTTCTGCGTTGAAAACATAAAAAAAATCTATCTCGAGGGAGTATCTTCTAGGTCTCTATGTTAATTAGAAAACACCTACTGCAAAAGGGTAACAACTTAGGTTAAGATCCTCAGATCGCCAAGACCCCCATTCTTCAGTAAAAAGAGGCCACATCCAATGAGTTACATCACTCCAGCTAACCTGCAAGCAAATACCATATAAAACCAGAAAAAGCTCCTGAGAAAATAACATGTTTGTATCTCTTTATATCATATGGAATAATACCTTGCCGATGGGGGCTTCTTTCAAGTACTTGTATAACTCCGGAAGCTCCTTCCTAAACTGTCTTTCAAAACCTGATGGTGGACTGTTAAAACAAAATTAAAATTGCAAGTGGTTAGCTTCCACTTTCCAGGGAGTTAAGCTCATACTTCAAAGCTACGAAGTTTACCTATACGGAACAACATAAGGTGCAGCCACCACACAACGAATCTCATAAAGCTCTGCAAGGCTCCATCCCTCCTAAAACCATCAACATTTTTAGTATTTCTTGCAATAAAATCACACACTACCATATCATCACGGTACAAAGGGAAAGTGTTAAGTCATACCAAAGCAAAGAAATTTATGACAACGAGATCACCCTCCAGACAAGAACCCTCTCCAAAGATGCTTCTAAATGCAGAACAACACTCTTGTCTGTGTTCCACTTTGATCTTTTCCTTCTCCTCCAAAAAGAGCTTCCTTGATGACTCTGAACAAAACCCACAAAAGAAAGATTAATACATTAAATGGGATGAGGATTAACACAAAAAGTATTGACCTGTAGCTTCACTAGACTGAGCAGGAGGAGAAGTGATAGGAACAAAGGAAACATTTGCTTTGAGTAAATGTGAGCTTAGGTTCTGCTCATAAAAATTAAACCTTTATTACATTAACTTATGCAAGTCTACAACTTTAAGACAAGACAACAACAACAAAAAAAAGAACAAAACCTCATGAGCTAAATGTGAAATCAAGAAAACAGAGTAGTTTGGTTGATCACGAGCCAAAGCTGCAGCAATTGCCTGTAAATAAAATAAAAAGGAAACAGTTTTTTAGAATCGATTCCAAAACAGAGACTTTGGGAAGAGAGAGAGAGCTTACAGCGAGAGGGTAGACATCTCCTTTGGTGCCAAAAGCCATGAAGAGAGCTATTGGTTTTGTCCTGCTCTTTGGTTCCTCCATGGTCCGATGAGAGGGGAAGAGAGTGAAGTGAGAGACCACAGTGGTCACCGCAGCTAATTACACAGCGATTATTACCAGTGAAACGCGTTTGCAATTTTCGAATTCGATTGGTTTTTTTACAGACAGTTCATATGCTTCGGTTAGAATTGTTAGTTCGGTTCGGTTCGGTTTATTTAGCTTTTTGGTTAGTTTGGTTAACAAACTAATTTTACTGGTTCGTTTAGTTAATTTGGTTCAAGATTTTTGTTACTGATGGTAGGGTTTGGTTATAATTTTTTTTTAAATGGAAAATTTGAACCGAACCAAACCGATAACCTTTTTTGTCACGATTATTTTTTCTGGTAACTCAATTATTTTTTCGTGTTTGGTTCGTTTAGTTTTCGGTTCAGGATTCTGGTTAGTGATGGTAGATTGTGGGATCAAATGCTCATATAGACCAAATGGCCGACAAAAAATCTAAAATAGACCCCTATCTATTTTAATTTTTTTTTGAATTAATTTTAAATAGAAAAATGCACTAAAAGTCCTTAAAATCCAGCAAGATCTATTTATTTACCAATCCTACCACTATCTATCCAAACCCAATAACCCGACCCAACAATTCTAAATCCCTAAATTCCCAAATTTCTTCTTCTTCTCCAACGTTATTTTGACGTTCTTCATCTCCATTTTTCATCATCACTTTTTAAAAATCAAAGTCAAACTAAAACTTAAGTATCATTCATTTAGTCTCCTCCATATTATTCAATTTTCATTTCTGATTCACAAACTTAAGAATTCAGATTTTAAATTCTCCATTTTAACAAATTTTTGGACCAAAAATTTCCATTCCATAATCAGAATCAAAATTTAAAAAAAAAATCTTCAAACCTTACAGATTTTCGTTCTTATCCCAAATCAACCAGTTCTTCATCATTCTCAATCTATTTTCTCTCATATTAAATCAAATCTCACTTTTAATATACAAAATTTTCGACAATGAAGAACACAAAGTATTACTGGTAAAAATAGTACAACTGAAATTAGTATAACTAGTACAACTACAACGAGTATAACTAGTACAATTAGAACAACTATAACTAGTACAACTTTATAATTAATATGGTTATATTAAGGTTTTTGTTTTTAGTGAATGATGTTATAGACGAAGAAAATGTAGAACTAATGAAAAGGATGGTCTAATCTTCCCATGCATGAATTTGTCAAAATATGTTAAAATGTAAGCAAAAAGATGCCACAAAAACCATCAAGAGTTCAAAAGGTTATATAAGCATGTTTGGTGTTTGGATTACGACAATAATAGTCTGACTAATACAACTAGTTTAACTACAATAATAGTATTAGTACTAGTTTAATTGTACCAACCTTTGAAATATGTTGTTTTAACACTGGATGGTAGGCTTCTTTTCCCAAAAGATTGAGCAAAATATTGTATTGCAGGTGATGCATCAAATGATATATAATGTAAAAAGGTAAGGACAATAGCTTGCCTAAGAGGTCCCGTAAAATAGATTGAGTGTAACATGTCTAACTACTACAGTTAGAATGTGTATAACTAGTATAACTTTACAATTAATATGGTGAAATTTGATTTTTTAGCATATAAATATTGCTAGAAAAGAAGATGATGTGAAACTAATGAGTATGATGGTTTAATCTTCCCGCATGGATTCGTAAAAAAATATTTAGTAGTTTGAAGATGGTATAGAAGAGTATGATGTAGAACCGATAGACATGTTGGTCTAATCTTCCTTCTCATGCTTATGTCAAATACATGAATTCTATACATTTAATAATATTTTATTTAGATAATGGTTTATTTACAATTTTTACTAGTTATAGTAGTTATACTATTTTCAGAAAAAAATCAGCTTCATCTTTTTGCTTTCAAGGTCGAAAAATTTGATGCGGAATCAGAAAATTCTTTAGAAGTGCGAGTCACCAGAAAGAAGAATAAGGAGGGAACATCAATGACAACTAAGTTCTCCCTTCGCTTCAAATATATAGCTTTTGGGGTTACTTTTGAAAACTTATGTTCTTTATATAATTTATTTTCCTTTTGGTATTAAAACTTATGTTTCTTGTGATGTTAAACTTGTTTTTATAACTTTTGAAACTATCAAAACTTATGTTCCTTTTGACACAACTAGTACAACTACTTGGCATTAGTGTTCAACCAAAATTGTTAAAAGATGATACACATTTAAGACATGATCCACATTTAAAACAATATTAAATAAAATAGCAAATAGTTGTATCAGTTTTTAGTTGTACCTGACTATACAAAGTTGTACTAGTTTTTGAGTTGTACCAGTTTGTGCATAGTTGTACTTTGACAGTGAAATCAAAAATATTAGTTGTACCACATAATAAGTGCACTTACCTTAGTTGTACCACTTATTTATGTTTACATATCTTTGCCCAGTTACAATGAAATCATTAAATTTGTAAAAGTACATTTCATGTATGTTTTCTAAAAATTATGTGGACAAACAATTTAACAAACCTTAAAATTATGAGGTAGGTTATCTAAACTATGGAGTTTTGTAATAATTTATAAAAAAAAAATTATACAAAACTTCAAATTAGATTAAAGAAGCTCTATGAGTACATAACAATTAGTATATTTGATTGTTTTTTCATATGGAATACCAAAATGATTTTGTCAAATTCTGAAATGTCAAAGTTATACTAGTTGTATCAGTAATACTCATCTAATATATTTTTAAAAATATATATATTGTTTATATGTCTAGTTTTTTTAGTTGTACTAATATTTTTACAACATGGTTTTTGTAAGAATATGTCTAATGTTTGTTTTCATAATAATACGGCTAATGTAGTTAATAAGCCTTAAGTATAAAGTATATAATGTAAACTAAGAATGTAATATAATAATTTAACAAAAAATTGAAAAACTTTAGATAAAATAGATGAAATGTTGTCATTATATACCAATTAGTATATTTACTTGTATATTTTATGCAATCAGTGTTACGAGGGACCATAGCTACCAATCTTATCTGGCGAATGGGGGTCCTAGCTCAATAACTTATTATGTTATAAGTCATTATAATTTTCTAGATATATAGTTATACTAGTTTTTGAGTTGTATCGGTTTGTACATAGTTGTACTAGTTTTTGAGTTGTACCCATTTTTAAATAGTTGTACTAGTTTTTGAGTTGTACCGGTTTGTACATAGTTGTACTTTGGCAGTGAAATAAAAAAAACTAGTTGTACCACATGAAATTTAAACTTACGTCAGTTGTACCACATTTTTATGTGTATATATGTCTTCGCCCAATACAATGAAATCATTGATTTTGTTAAAATGCATTTCATATATGTTTTCCCAAAAATATGTGGACAAAGGAGTTAACAAACCTTAAAAGTATAAGGTATATCATATAAACTTATGGAGTTGTGTAATAACTTTCAATTTTTTTTCAAAACTTCAAATATATTAGGAGAAAAATTTATGACTACATACCACTTTGGATATTTGATAGTGTTCTCATATGGAATACCAAATTGGTTTTGTCAATTTTTGAAATGTCCAAGTTGTACCAGTTGTACCAATAATACTCGTCTAATATATAATAAAAAGTTATATCAATTGTTTATATGTTTAATTTTATAAGTTGTACCAATATTTTCATAATAATATAGCTAATTAACTTAAGAAACCTTAAATATAATATATATATATATATATAATGTAAAATTAAGAGTATAATATAATAATTTAATAAAAAGTTGATTACTTCAAATAAAATAGATGAAATTTTGTCATCATATACCAATTAGGATATATGTTTGTTTATTTTATATGTAAAACATGATTATTAGTCGTTTCAATTATAGTAGTTGCATATTGTACATGAATTATAACATTTATATAACAGTTATACTAGTTATATCATTTTTCAACATATTTAGTTATACGAGTTATACTAGTTGTACCCAGATTTCTCTTATCATCCGACGGCTCAGATTACATCTCGCATTATATGATCTAATGGTTCACATTGAACTCTCATTAATGGTAAAATAGTCATTTTACACCCTTTGGTCTATGAAAGATTTTTTTTGGTTGTTGTAGATTAGTTTTGGGTCATTTGTCCCATAATAGATTTTTGTCCTAGATTGTGGTTATATTTTTTTTAATGGAAAATGTGAACCAAACCAAACCGATAACCTTTTTTTTTTCAACGCCAAACCGATAACCAAAAACTTTTAATCCACATAATAGAATTAAACCGAAAACTAAATAAAAAAAAGGTTCAAGTGATTTGCTTTCTACAGTGAAACCTCTATAAATTAATAACTAGAACTTGACCCGCACCCCCATACGGGTGTTTGATTTAACTTATGTTCAACGTAAACTCATAAATCGTTAGTTTTATTAAAAAATATAAATATTTATATATTTTGTAATTTACATACATAATAGTATATATTATTTATAATATAAATTTTTAATAATTATTATTTTATTTTTATATAATATTATATTAGAAATTGATAAATGCAATTTTATGTAATTGTACTAGTCATATATTAACATGTAGTTTTTTTTTTAATTTATTTTAAAATGAAACAACATACTAAAAATAATTTTTGCATTAGTTTTCTATGAATTATCATTAGTTTTATGATATTTTGTTTTCTTGAAATTTGATCTCTAAAAATTTTATATTTGAATAAATTAAATAAGGCAATATTATATTTTAAAAATATTCTATATAATATATATTTCAATTTGTGTTTTTATTTTCACCACAAAGAAAGAAAAATTCTTGTAATTAATTAATTTAAATTGATTTTAAATGCAAGGACATAATCTGTAAATAAAAAGAAATACAAAAGGAAAGTATTTAATTTATTGTAAATGCAATAGTTAAATGTGCAAATAAAAGAAGATACTTAATCTACTATCCATGTTTCCAAAAAATGTTTCATTTATTCTGTTATCTTTATTTCCAAACAGTACCAAAATGTACTTCAGTTTTAATAATATAGACTAGATTTTGACCCGTGCGTCCGCCC